GGTAAGTCGGAAGGAAAGGAGACAGCATAGAAAAGGGTAAATGGAGAAACTGGGTACTATGCTAGGTAGTGAAGTTCCATATGCTTTTATACACTACTTCCTGGTGGTACCTCTGTTGGCTAAGAGAAGAGAGGGGGCTGAGAGCTTTGGGGGTCCTGCCAGCACTTCCAGCCTAGTATCCCTGCTCCCACAACAGATTGCTTCCTCCTTTCTGATTTCTACTATAGTTCTAAGCTAGCGATACTCAGTCTTGGTGTCCCTGCCACCAAGGGAACATTTTTCATTGTCATAGCTGGGGGGAAGAGAGTACTACTGCTATCTGGTTCTAAGGACAGTCCTTAGCCTACAACAAAAATTTACCTAATCTCAATTGTCAGAACTTGCCCTGGTCTTGATGCAGAGACTGCCTTTCAGAAAAGTAATGAAAATGGCAGTGAGGTCATCCATGAGCCACTGAGAGATTCCAGCCTGGATCTCACTGCTTCTCTATAAAATCTGTAAAGAAGAGGTACAGATCTGCCGTCTGCTGCCTGCCTGCCTCTCTCCCGACTCCTGGATTTATAGCCACTCCCTCCCACTCACAGACTGAGAACAACCCTGGCCCACATAGCACATATCAGAGGCCACTAAATACCCACTTTGTTTGGCAGCTTCTTAATGCTCTTTGGCTTGTAATTTGGGATTCCTCAAGCCCTTTTCCTGAATTTCATTCTAGAGATGAAGAAAACTTAAGTATAATTCAGAAACAAATGGTCTTATCTTTGATTCTTCTCAAGCATACCAAACTGTACACACAGTTCCTCCAAATAGATTGCAGAGGTCTCTGGAGAAGCAGTGGACCTGGATGAGCCCAGCCAGAGCCAAACCAGATCTCTGTGCTAGACTCTACAGCAATTTTCAAGATGTTGAATGTTCTTTATGAGGGAGGAAGAGGGGAATTAGGGAAGGGAGGGGGGATAAGGAAGAAAGAAGCAGATGGTAACTTCTTGGGGTCAGACCACTGGTGGAAGGAAGTAAGCGAACTAAGCGGTGTGGTAAATCATAAAGGCCTAGACTTGACTCCTGGCTCTACCTCTGAGCTGTGACTAGGATCATCACACTACATTCTCATCTGTGAAATGGGGTTCCAGACACCTGCACAAGAATACTGTGCAGGTCGATTAGAGGCTGCAAAAGATTTTCACGCTGTACATAGAGTAGAGCCTTATTTAATTTTTGTTTGCTCGCTTACTTTTTATTCACTTACAATCTTTTCAATCAATCCTGACACCAAAGAATCCAAAAGCTATTTGTGTCTCTGCATTACTAACTCAGGAGGAGTTGGATGTCCTGAGAACTTAGTAGAATAATAATGACCCAAATAAACCTTGAGAAGCTATGTGTGACCTGATTTGCAGTAATTTGAAGTAATCATGTAGTTTATTGGGATTTAAAATGGGTCTTGAGCTAATGAATAAATGTACAATCCAGAGTCATTGGGACATGCTAAGATAACATCTTAAGACCCTCTGTCTTGCAAACAAAAAACAATGTAGTATGAGGTAGATAGGCTCTTGCCCAGAGAAATTGACCAGGGCAAGCAATTCTCAAACTCGAATTCCCTTGGGAATCTTTCTGTGTACACAGATTCTCCATCTGATACCCAAAAGTCTGACGCAATAGAACTGACAGTGTTGTAGTTTGAATCTGAACCATCTCCCAAGGCCTGTGTTTTGAATGTTTGTTCTCCAGCTGATGGCATGATTTTAGGAGGCTGTGGATTCTTTAGGATATGGGAAGAACCCTTAGCTGGAAGAAGTAAGGTACTTGGGGTAGGCCTTTGAAAGTAATAGCCTGAGAACTTGGTGGTTCCAGCGCTTCTCTGCTTCCTAGTCTACTGCAAGGTGAGGAGCACCTACCACATGTTCCCATTGCCATGAGCTCCACCATGTCTTCTTCCCCATGATGGCCTAAAACCAGGAGCCAAAATGAATCTTTTCCCCTTTAAGTCTGCTCTGTCAGGCACTGTAGTTACAGCAATACAAAAGTAACTAATAGAGATGGAAACATGCAGGCCCAAAATTCCATGAAGGTGATTCTAAGGTCAGATGGATTTAGGAACCTCTTGACAAGGTTTCCAAATTTTTTGGAGCAGCTTACCAAGTGCCAGTCAGTAACTCATGATCCTACAATTTCTTCCAAATCCTTAACCAAGATGTTTTGCAAGCATTGTTTGAAGCTCTATTTGCTGTTACATCCTAGAGAATATTTTTAGATATGAAATTTGTTTTCCTTCCAGCAAGATGCTCTACATCATTACTACCAATTAGGCAAGTTCATTTAAAAGCTTTGAATCCATACTTGTAAATTTCCCTTTTTCTCATCCAACTTTATGTCTAAACAGTGCAGCTGATGACTGTACAGTTCCATTTATGAATTCTACTCTTGTAAATGTATTTCCAAAATCGTTTCAGAATTTCTTTGTATGGGAAAGCCAGAACTGCTGGTTTTAATAAGAACATGGTTTAAACATAGTTATCCAGATCCCTGATATTTCATGGCTTCCCAGAAAACAGACGACACCCAGCACTCAAAGAATACCTTCTCTTTCAAACAACTCCAGCCATCTTACTCCAGAGGGATCCCCAACCCTTATCACCTTGTGTTGCCTTTAGAAAGAGTGACAGGATTTCATGGGATGAAAACTGAGGCCATACCAAGTGAAAAGAAAATCTTGGCTCTTACCATCACAATGTGTCCACAACGGTGTCTATCAGCAATCATTACTGCACCCAGTGGGTGCTCAACCACTAACTGAATGAAGCCAGTTATTGACAAAATCCCCGTACTTCCCTTGAAGGAAGCCCAGGCAAGAATTCTCTGAACAAGTGCTACAGTCCACATGTTCCCATCTGAGATGGCGTTCTATCGCATGGCCAGCAAAGCAAAAGGAGCTTTATTTTTAGCTACTAGACTTCACAGGGATGGTTGGAGTCCTATTTAGACTTCTTTCATTCCTAGCCTTCAGATGACACTCTTATGATTTGCTTTTGTAATTTGTACTTTTTTAAAAAAAAGGTTCAGTCAAAGATGGCCTCGAGCAGATTTAAAACAATACAAAACAAGAGAAATAAACCAGATGGCAAAAAAAAATCATAAATCAGGCCAAGCCGTACTGAACAAGCTACAAAGAAAGGCATCATGAAACTGTAAAGGGAAGAGGCACTTCGTTCCTCATGGATAAGCCTCCATTATTGCTTCCTTGGAGAGGAAAGCTCGGAGGTCATCCAGGAGAGGCTGATGCACTCCCTTCTCCACCTGTCACAACTAGTCTGCAAAGAGCTGTGTGATAGTTACAAACCTGTAAGGGATTTTCAGACCAGTGGGGCACTGTTTTCAGAGAAAAAGAATGGTTTGGAGAGATCTCTGTTTTCCTTGAATGGTGATAAAGGTAGGCAAAGAAGAAAAAGAAATTGATCCAATAAATCTGCACTGTTTCTAACACTTAATGAAAAAACAGAAACTCCCCTGTGAAAAGCCCTATCCCTATCTCTTCAGCAGACATCAATAGGACACACTATAAGAGGGAAACATCATTAGCACCCACTGGGCCGAAGAAGGCAAGAAAGACTCAGACTTATCCTGCTTGGCTATGTCTCTGACACTGGACTAAAAGTTTGGGCCTTCCCATGGAGATAAGGGTTTTAGTTAGGGGAATTTGTTTTGTCCTGTAATTGCTGAGTAGAAAGTAAACTATTCAGAAGTATCCTCTTATCCTCTCTCTCTCTCTCTCTCTCTCTCTCTCTCTCTCTCTCCATGTCATTATGTGTGTGCGTATGTGTCAGTGTGTGTGTGTGTGTGTGTGTCTGTGTATGTCTGTGTATGTGTGTCTGTGTAAGGGCCAAATTGCAATGGGCTGGCCTTTCAGCTCTTACAACAGCTGCCATATATTTCAAGTGCATTAAAAAGTTATTTAAACCAACAATAACTGGGCCTCTTAGGAAAGAGTGCATCTCCATTAGTTTTAGATATTTAGAAGTACATGCTGTTCTGTTGTAACACAACATGCAAAAAATCTGGCACTAGCTTTTCAATCCTGGAGCCCTGCTTACAAACGTACTGAATTATTAGCCCCAGTACATCATCCTTGCCCTTCTCTCCTTCATCTATATGACCTGAAAAGACGTGAAAGGTTTGCCAGGGTGTGCTTGTCAATCTGAATTTATGGGCACAGACAATGCCAAGGACTCCTGTTCACTGTACACTGACTGCCTTGCACCACACAACAGGGACTCTCCAAGTGAAAAAGAAATACTGCTATATGTCCAGAGACCTAAGCATCACAAAGGGATTACATCCATAGGCCTAAATCTGTCTACTTCCTTATCAGTCCACCCTCTTTGTTCCATAGTCACTGTGAGGGATCAGATTGAATTTGCTATGAGTTGCTTTTCCTCTCAGCTCTAAAAATCTGTGGCTATGCTAAGGAGATAAAGAACTGGTAGTGGATTAGTTTCTCTATGGACTTCCGGAGCCTCGTGTATTGTCCCAATTAAAGCCTTCATTGCCTTATTACTCCTATTAAGGCAAGTATTGCATGATGCTGTAATGACTTCTTCAAATCCCCTTTTTCTTTCCAGAGGAAATACTCCAGAAGGGAGATAGGGATCACTATGGCCTTGACAGATAGCACTCTATCAACCCAAACCTTGCAAAGTGCATGGTCTTTAATCGAAGCACAGTAGTATTTGTCAACTGAATGTGCAAAGAAGTTCATGAAAACTGTTTCTTCTTCTAAGGTGACCAGCCATCTTGGTTTGGCCATGGACCAAAGGGTTTCCCAGGAAAGGCCCTAGGGAGTTCAGTGTTTGAAGCAGGAAAATTCCAGGCAAAGTGGTACAGATAAACAGCTTGCCTCCTCCTTACAGTATCACACCACCAGATCCAGTTTGCACACCTGCCCCTCCTCTTCCAGGAGTTTCTATATCTCACATACCTGTACTCTCGGTTGCTCTCCTCACCTGTCAACTGGAAGGAGTGGGTATTGTGTCTCATTCTGCCAGGCAAATGACTACCCTAGCCATCCTGCCTGGTCAGTTGTTGCTGTTGTTGTTGTTGTTGCTGCTGTTGTTGCTGTTGTTGTTGTTGTTGCTGCTGTTGTATGAGAGATGTAGGAAGTTGATTTCTAGGAGTTAGAAAATGGAAAGTGTCAGGATGAGCAGCAAAGACAGACAGAATGAAGCCTGTCATTGGTCTGCCCAAAGGCAGGCATGGTGCCAGGTATTGGTGCACTCCAGACGAGAAATTGCTCCTCTCTCCTCCAAGATGCCTGCAGACCCTCCCCAGGTCTCATCCACCATCTGTTCTCTAAACTCATCTGCCTTTCACTATGTCATGGTGTCTTAGTCAGGGTTCTCCAAAGAAACAAAACCAGTAGAATGAATATATATGTATAGAGATTTATCAGCTTAGCTCACAGGATAGAGTCTGAGTAGTCCAACAATGGCTGCGCGACACTGGAGAGGCTGAGAATCCGTAGTTGCTCAGTCCACAAGGCTGGATGTCTCAGTAGTCCCAATCTGGTGCTGAAGGTCTGACAAATTCCAAAAGATCAGCTAGTCTTCAGTCTACAGCAGCAAGATGAACTCACCAGCAAGAGAGAAGGCAAGCAGCAAGAAGCCTGACTAATACAGATTTTGGTACCAGGAGTGGGGTTTATTTAGCTTACATATCCCAGGTCACATTTGATCCTGGAGCTCAAGGTAGGAATTCAGGGCAGGAACCTGGAGGCAGGAGCTGGAGCATAGGCCATGGAGGAATGCTGCTTACCGGCTTGCTCTCCTGGACTCTGCTCAGCCTGCTTTCTTATGCAGCACAAGACCACCTGCCCAGGGGTGGCACCACGCACAGTGGGCTGGCAAGAAGATGCCCCTCAGACATGGCCACAGGCCAGTCCAACAGAGGCAATTCCCCAATTGAGGCTTCCTCAACCCAGGTGTGTCAAGTTGACACTAAAGCTATCCAGCACACATGGTTAAAGAGATGATGCACTGAAGTATATGGTCCCTCAACACTTCTGTCAGGGATGTGACAAGATGACCTGGAGCTGGCTTGAGTCAGTCCTGCCCCTGGAGGATCATGCAGCAGTGAGTGGATTTTGCTATGAGTTTGAAACAAGTTTACCCATGGGCATATCATCCTCACTTATTTCTAGGATGTCCTTCTCTAGACTATCTAGACAATATAAGGAGAGGGTGGAGGAACAAGTGCAACCAGAGTATATTATATAGATATATGAAATTGTCAAAGACAATTTGGGCCTCCAACACTAAGTAAGATAATTTTTTTCTTGTAAAAAATGGGATAAAAACTGAAGGTAAGAGACAACCCAGAAACCATCCACTTGTTCGGCACTTAAGTGCTATATCATATAAAGGAATATTACTGAGAAGTAACTGGGAATAAATTACTGATACATGTAATAATGTGGATAAATATAGAATATATTTCCATGAATGAAAGAAACAGATACTGTTCAGTGCACTTTATATTAAGTCCAAGCTGAGAAAAATTGATCCTATTAGAAGCTAGGGTAGTGGTCACATTGGAGATGGGACAATGGGGATGTATTGATTAAGAAGTGAACTTCTTTGCATTCTCAAGGATAGGAACACTGTATATTTTTATTTGGATAGTGCTTTTACAAATGTATATATTAGCAAAAATTATTGACTTGTACACTTCTTATTGTCTCACTTTACTTACTTTATACTTTAAGAAACAAGAGAAACATACAGAAGCAACAGAGGAGATACTTGCTTTAATCTTAATCTAGCAAGCTATGTCACCTAAAGCCAGGGAAAACATTCTTACACCCTGTGGAAGTACATTATTCTATCTACCTGCTTTGGCTGTCAAATTAAATCAGATGAAACTGAGTGGGGTGGTTGTTCAATCTCATTTGTTAAATGTATGCTTGACAAAGGCAATGCTGTCAATACCAATGAAATTAAGTTTTGTCAAATGTCCGAAATGGTGTGTGTGTGTGTGTGTGTGTGTGTGTGTTTATAAAAGACAATTTTCTGCATTTTAGATTTATCCACAAATATCTCTAGCAGCTTCATCTCTCTGCCTATTATTCAAGGGCAGGCACACTGCCTGCTGTTCGCTGGATTCAACTTCCCTATACATGCTCATTTCGAAGGTCGTGTATGTATTCATTTACTACCTGGTTGTTATTTAAGAGGATTTTATTACATCGTTTTAGGTTGATTTATTCTTTTCCTTCCCACCGGAAATTCTAATTTCTAGTGAACCCAATGGCAGAGGAGCTGAGTGAGTAGGAGACTTCATAGGACTCACTGTTTTCAGCTTTCAAATTAAACATGAACACATTTGGTTTGGGTCAGACGTCATTTTGATCACCATTTTCTGGAGCTAAAAGGAAGATGTGGTTTAAGGCAAAAACTGTATTTTTACAAAGAAGAGGGGACAGCCAGCAACAGAGATACCCACAGCATACCCTATCTAAATATATACTTACGAGAGCAATGTTCATATGGTGAATAAGACCATGTCTTGGTCTTTATCATTTGACTCAATTTCCATTTTGAAACCTAAAAGTTTAACTACTTCATTATAAAGCAAAATGGTTTCGTTTTGTGTGCAGTGTGTGAGGCCAATACTATCCCAAAATCAGAATAATATGGAAGGACAACAGGGCACCAAAAAGATCAAAGAGGAGGTTCAGGAGAAGGTAAGACAAGAGAAGTACAAGGCAACGTGGTGCTTCTCAATTGTGAGGCATCTTGGAGGTGATGGGATGGGATGCGGGTGTGAAAGGAGATCCTATGTGTCCTGCCAGTTCGTTAGACAGTAGCTCTGGAAAAGGTTTCTGTGGTAGAAGCCAGGGAGGAGAACAGCGATTAGAAAGGCAAGTGACAGAGTAGCACACAGCCACAAGAAGAGTGGGCTGAAGAAGTAAGGCCCTGATAAAAGCATTTATTTGCTTTTGGATGAACATCCCAATGACTCATTTCTCCCCAGCACCTGTAATCTGTGAGTCTTCCCCCACACGTGTTAATGTTGGAGAAAAGAATAACTCAAGCCCAAAAGAATAACTCAAGTGATCACTATTGTTCTTCTGCTCAAATGTCACATGCAGGCGCCCCTGCGCTGCCATTCAGAAATCTATTAGCAACATAGCAGTCAGGAACTCCCATGACCTACTTTTACCAGACAGTAGATGTTTCTAATTCTGTAATCAGTGAAACAGCAAAAATGATTAGATAATCTGTGTGACCTTGTCCTGGATCAGACCAGGGAAATACTGCTTGTGGGGAAAAGGTTAATAGAATGTAACTTAAACAGCTTCTGTGCTTCCAAATTTGCCCCAGATGCTGAGGGGCACCAGGCAAACAGGAGCCCTTCAAAAGTCCCAAATCATGCTCCCTCCACCACCCTTGGGCATTCCATTGCCTGAGTTTCTGTGCTCTCGAATCCACCCCGAGCTGTGCCCTGAGCACATATAAACCAAACTCTGTATTTGCAGTCTAACATCTTACCCTCTCTGAATGCTGTAGGCCTCCATTTCCCCAGTCCCACTGAGATACGTTAGTGTGTTTATCCTTGTAGAACCGCAAACTCAAACTCCTATCATTGAAATGTTATAGCTAATTATATCCTTTTGCCCTGAGCCCCACCTTCGTCCTCTGCTCCCTTTCTTATATGGAAAAAAAATTCTCCTCCAAGGAAAGATTTAAAAGGAACTAGACAGATTGCTTTGCGCATTATGATTTTTCTCCTCATAATGTTCACATCTATACTACAACTGCATTTTGGAAAATCAAACAAGAAAACAATTATTCTAGAATCTTCTGTCCTCTGGCTGGGTATAAGGATGCATGGCTTTAATCTAATTCCAGCACTTGGGAGGAGGGGATAAGAAGATCAGGAGTTTGAGGACAGCTTTGGCTACATAACACAAAATGAGTTACAGGCCAGTCTGGCAGTCTGGGTTAGAAGAGACGGTGTCTTAAAAAAAAACAACAACAACAACAACAAAAAAACAGAAAACAAGAAAGACAGTGAAGAAGGAAGAATGGAGGGAAAAAAGAAAGAACAACAAAAAAACTTCTGTGCCCAATAAATCAAAATTATTTCATCATATTTGCTCTATTTTTAAAGGAACTGTTTATCATGATAAACATATAATTTTTGTCTTTCCTTTTCAATCTGTGTTTTATAAGGCAATTTTCTCAGGCTTAAAACCCTCTTAAGTAACAATGCCCAACCCAACTCCCACTCCCCCTATCCCTTTCTAGCCCTCCCCATGTCTTAAATGATTTCATTTCCTTGCGCCTTTCTGTAATCACACAATCACTGCACACAGTATTGGGAGTGACGATGTTAGGGAGCAATGGAAATAAACCTGCTTGCCTTCATTGCAGCTTGAAAATTAAATACTACTAAGTATCCATCCCTACCCCACCCCCGCCATCCCCTAATCACAAACTTCTCCACAGCAAAGATACCTAGTGGTGACTTAACTGAGCCCCAGAGGTGATGCAAAAGGTACCACGGAATTTGCAAAACTCCCAAATCAAATTAATGTGCATGCCATGCTGGAGAATATTTCTCCTGGGAGAGGGAACATAGTTGTATTGGGGATCCCCATAAACAGATACTGAGATTAAGACTCAGGTGTATTTAGTGTATAGGAGTATCTGAAGCAGTGCCTGTGGGAAAGTGTCGCAAGCCATTAAGGGAAGGTAGCCTATTCAGGATGTGCTAATGGGTAGCTAAGTGCTATAGGCAATGAGGCTCCATGCCACTGGATATTCACCCTAGGCTTCTCTCTACTAAGGGGAAGGAAGCTGGGGCATCCACTACAGTTCCATTGCAACACTGACTGAAGGCTGCTCCTGGTGGACATAAGCAAGCTACCAGGCATCTTGCTTGCCTTTTTCTTGGGCCAGGACTGCCTCCAGGGCCAGTCCTAAAGTCTTGGAACAGAATTGCAGGAGTACCCCATAGGCACTTTGGCAGGTAAGTACCAAGGACACAGGACCAGCTAGCCAGCTTCTGCAATCCAAAGAGTCAGACAAGAGGCCACAGAAGTCTGGAGAGTACCACTACAAAGGTCTAGGTTTATTTCTTTCTTGTTCTTCACTCTCAGGAATCCTT